GAACCCCACAGAGCTGCTCTGCACAGACCTTCAGGACTCTGGGACTGACACCATCTGGACCTGCAGCCTTATTCTGGTTAAGTCTCTCCAGCTGCTTCCACACCTGACCTCTAGAGATGCATAGGGGGGAGGCAAAGGAGGTATCAGCATCTTGTGATTTGGTTGAATACCAACATGTAGAAGAAGAAGGGTCCATGACTGAGGTGGTAGATAAAATATTTGAGATGTGACAGGACAGTCTTGGGTCAAAGGATGGTGGTATATCTGTTTGGCTGTGGGCAAGAGAAGAGGCTGCTGAGCTTGTTCCTGAACTGAACCTATTGAAGAACGTGTTCAGTTCATTGGCTCTGTCCAGGCTTCCATCCTTCTGATCCTCCTTCTGCTTGAAGCCTGTGATCTGTTTCATCCCTGACCACACCTCTCTGATATTGTTCTGTTGGAGCTTGCTGTCCAGCTTCTTCTTGTACACCTCCTTGCTATTTCTTATCTTGACTTTTAGTTACTTCTGTGTACTCCTCAATAATTCCCTGTCTCCATCCCTGAAGGCTTTTTTTTTTCTTGCTATTCTACGGTGAAACCAGACGTGTTTTCCCTCTCTGCCCCCCCACCACCCGCTTCCCTGCTGTGCTCTTTTGTCCTGTGAACCCTTAAAAAGCCTCTTTTTTATTTCCTGCATACCTCTTAATTGGAAGGATCAGCTGGTCTCTCAACAAAATCGATCAACTTCTCCCGACAGGAGTCAGGGTAAGGAGGACCCTCTGAACTCTATAGGACAAATTGGATTCATGATGACAACTAGATTCTACTGTTTGGGTTGGTGGAATCTGGTTGTCTACAAATTCGTGTGGAGGTGTTGAAGCTCGACAGTGCTCGGACTGAATGTGGAGCTGTGACAGGGAATTGGAGCAGCTGTTATCAGGACTGTGTTCTCCCTGGCAGCACTCATGAATGGTGGAATAATCTGGAGAAGCTGTGAGCTCGACTGTTGGAGTAAAGGATCAGTTCGGCTGTTTTGGAGTTTCCATCAGAGAATATGTACCAGCGAGACTTTAAAGGCAGAAACAACAATTAAGAGTTCTGTCTGACCCAAACTGTGGCCTAGATGCCGGACTTATCTCAACTCCTCCTGGAATGTTTGGAAAACAACAAAGATGCTTTGACTGTTTCCTCACCCCTCCCTTCCCCAAGGCCGTGGACATGTAACAAAACCTGAACTGAGCTGAAGATGAACGTCACCTCTTATCTGGACAATGGCTGAGGGGGGGCTCTGGACTATGCTACGTCTTTCCCTTAAAAATTCAATATCTTCACGGCCTATATGTACATGTATAACGTCTGTTTATGTTGCTTTGCTGTGGTAGGTTTTTTTGATGCCTCAAATTGTGCCCTGTCTAGGACACGGAGTGAGAGATCTTTTTTTTATACCGTCTCTCCTCATGTTTTCTTTCCTTTTTTTATCTAAGCAAAATATTATTCTGAATAAAAATAAGAAGACCGCGCTAATTATTTTAGCCTCAGCTTCGTGCACTCCGCCCATCTTCGGACAACTGTACGTACATATTCGCGTTGTATCTCGGTGCAATGCCAATAAAGTTTATTCTGATTCTGATTCTGATTTTATTCTGGTTTAGCAGTTCCGTCAGGTCAGTGGTGATCCAGTGTTTGTTATTGGGGAAGCATCTCACTGTTCTGGTGGGGATGGTGTTGTTTACACAGAAGTTTATGTAGTCGGTCACACACTCAGTCATGGCATTGATGTCCTCTCCATGTGGCTGGCACAGTGCATCCCAGTCTGTAGCCTCAAAACAACCCCGCAGGGCGTCTTCAGCTTCTGTTGACCATTTTCTCACTGTTCTCTTTATTGCAGGTTGCCTCTGATCAAGGGGTTTATATTTTGAGTACAGATACATGAGATTGTGATCTGATTTGTCAAGAGAGTGTAGTATGTCATATAGGGATATATATTCATACTTTTTCACGAGTTCCTCATCTTTCTGACTGTGTAAATGTCGTGCATTGAATTTTAACAGAAATGTAACGAGAGACGTTATTTATCTTTGACCCATCAAATGAATGCGGTCATTTATTTTCAGAATCAAAGTTTAACATCAAACATTTACATTAATTTGGCAAAATATGAAAATAATAACAGACAAGTTTCACAAATAATGGACTTCAATCACACGGCGGTGATCGAGGACTTTGCTTCAGATATTTCTAAAATATCTGTACTGATTTTAAGAGAAAGCAGAGTTTAAGATGGAAATGGAGATTTATCTTACAGAGAGATTTGTGAGGGAATTAATCTGTTTGACCAGAAACGTGCACGCTCCTTCAGATCTCAGCTTGCGACGGTACACTTGGTCGAAGTAGATCGTTACCTGGTTGACGATAAATCAGCTCGGTATAGAATCCTTCAGACTCTTTCAGCGTCTCCGTTGAGAGCAGCTGAAATCCTTCGAGAGTCGTACGAGGTTGTTCAAACAGAAGTTATAATCCCAAAACGTCTCTGGATCATCCTGAACGCGTTTGCATCCAAGAACTCTAACTCCATCACTCTTCAGCACTCTGTGTGGAACTCTCAGAGCTCTGCAGCATCAGACTCTTTTTAGCTCCATTAATCTTCAGCGTCTGGCTTCAGACTTCAGACTCTGTGCACTCTCTTGTTGAACTCATTCCTGAGCGCAGCAACTGCAGCAACTGGGAAGTTGCCACATTTTAATTGAGTTGACTTCCGGGTCAATTTAGAGCTTTCTGATTCGTGGATTGAACAGAATAGAGGTGTGGTTTGTGATGTAAGATGTTATCAAATTCGAGGTCAGAGAATGAGATTGTTCAACAACAGACAGAAAGATTATTGCAGAAAACCAGACTTCGTGGAGTCTCCCTCTTATTATCTTCTGAAAAAGTTTAAACATGACATTTCTTCTCAGTAAACATTTTAGTTGACCGAGAACCGACCTTTAACATACTTACAACCTGGCTCATTGAAGACAGAAAATCAAGAAATGCATATTAACCTGATTTCTTCTTTGAATGAGGAATAAAAATCATTACTTACTGTTTATGTAAAATAAAAATGAGTAGTTCTCTTCAACCTGTAAGCATTGAGTGACTAACACAATTTGATTATCAAGCATTTGTAAAATAGTAATGATCATAGAGAATTGTCTTTTCTACTTGATTAATTCAAGAAAGAAAGTCCCCAGATGGCTCAAACTGTATTTCTGGATGCAGATCAATGAAATAACAGTCTCTGTCCATCTGATCAAGATTTGAGGTCCGATCAGGTTCACTACACTTTAGCGTCTTGCTTTAGCGATGTATGAATCCTTGACATTTGCATAAAACAAGTCCAGCGTTTTGTTTTCTCTGGTAGAGCAGTTGACAAACAGTTGGAATGTCAGAAGTGTAGCAGAAAGTGAGATATGATTAAAATCCCCAGTTTTTGCAATAAACGGACTAGGGTGTTGTGTCTGTAGCTTAGCAACCTCGGAGCAGATGACATCACACTCATTCTCGGCAACAGCATTGGGTGGAATGTGAACAGTAACCAAAAAAACACTGGTGAACTCTCTTGGCAAATAATATGGACAACAACTTAGTGCTGATGGTTCAATATCTGGACTGCAGAGACGACACTTCACAGTAACATGTCCAGGATTACACCATCTGTTGTTCACAAGTACTGCCAACCCACCTCCTTTCCTTTTGCCACCCCTCTTTAAATCTCTACCTGCTCGTATGGTCAGAAAACCTGGCAAGGAAACGCTGGAGTCGGGGATATGATCCTGCAGCCATGTCTCAGTGAAACACATAACACTGCATTCCCGATACTCTGGATGGGTCCTTGTTAGGGCCTGAAGTTCATCCAACTTGTTTCCCAGCGATCTCACATTGCCCATCATGATCGATGGAAGAGATGGTTTGAAATTCATTCTTCTCTCGTTCTCTCTTCTTTGCTTCTGCTCTGCATCTACAATGCCTCCTTTTCAACTCATTTGGGATTTGGGACTGTAGTTGAGATATTATTTCAGCTTTGGAGATGTTAATCAGCTGCTCCCGGTTGTAAAAAAACAACCTTGTTGTTATGGTTACGCATCATGACAAATGTCCAAAAGCAAAGATATTTCTGTAAAAATCCTTCCAGCTGCACAGCATCCGACACCAGAGAAAATAGTCATCCAAAAAAAGTGATTTATATCCAGAAAAAAGAGGAATTAAAGTTTTCAAAAGTAATATCTCAGAATGAAAGTAACAGAGCTGCTCCAACATGCAGCCACCTTGAGTGGCGCAATTCTAGAACATTCTAGAATTCAGGACTTTTTTCGGGCCACATTTCTTCCTTGAAGACGATAGGTCCCCACTATCCTTCTAGTTTTTAATAATGCGTTGGACAGTTCTTAACCAAATTTTAGTAGTTTCTGCAATCTCCTTAGATGTTTTCTCTGCTTGATGCCAATGATTTGACTCTTCTCAAACAGACTGACATCTTCTCCACGACCACTTGATGTGTCTTTCCACATGGTTGTTTAAGAAATGAGAAGCAACTCATTGCACCAGTTGGGTTTAAATAACTTGTTGCCAGCTGAAAGATAATTGCCCATGCAGTAATTATCCAATATGAGGCTTGTACCTATTTGTTTAGTTAAATCCAGGTGGCTACTTTTTTTTTTTGGCCAGGCAGTGTATATGTATATGTTAACATGATGAGTTGGATAATTTGAAAAATAAGCAACACGCCAACTTCCATTTTGGTGTGTTGCTGCATCTAGTCATATGAGCATTGATATTCAGGTCTCTCTTGTAAATGAGTCCTTGAGGCTTAATGGTATTAACATGTCTAAATAAAGGTTGAATGAATGATATAACCCGCTCATAATATTAGTAATAATAAAACTGCTACCTTTAAGAGTTAACTTTCCTATTTATTCAGTTTAGCATGTGTTTACTTTGACTTTAAAAATGAACTGATCTCTTATTTCCAAACCTGACCACAGGCCTTCCTGAAAAGTGACAGAGTATCTCGGATGGTACAGAGTGGTGGCTTCTCGGCCAGTGACTCTCGGGAGGTTTTTAAGAAGCACATAGAGAAGCGGGTGCGCAGTCTGCCCGAGATTGACGGCCTCAGCAAAGAGACAGTGCTGAGCTCCTGGATGGCTAAATTCGACACAATTTATCGAGGTGAAGAAGACCCAAGGAAGCATCAGCAAAGACTGACAGCAAGCGCTGCCTCTGAGCTCATCCTCAGCAAGGACCAGTTGTATGAGATGTTCCAACAAATCCTGGGAGTAAAGAAGTTTGAGCACCAGCTCCTCTATAATGCCTGTCAGGTTAGTCTTACTGTATCTGGCTGTTTATCACATCTTATTTTCTATATTTGCTTTTAGCCAGTGTCGAGGAAAATCGACACAACAACTCAGACTTTTCAGCCTATTCACCTGTTCCTCTCATTGGTTCGGAGATACATGGAGAAAAGACACAAATATCAGTCAGAGAGATTCAAGTTAAAAAGTATTACCAACATTTATTAAAGCTTTCAGCTGAAAGGAGATGCTGTTACCCCAAAGCAACATAGATACAACAAAAACCCAAGACGTGTCTAACTGGAGCGTTCCTTCTGTATTTAAACACAAAAGCTCCACCCAGAGACGTGTCACACATTCTTACAGTTCTTTGTTTAAACTAGTTCAAACTGATGTCTTCATTTCCTGGAAGTCCTTTTATGGAGTTGTTTTATTATTTTCTTCTGCCGTTCCAGTTTACTGGTGATCTTGTCATCAGGTGGAACGCATACCAGCAGCTCCCTGTTAGTTCATGCCCCGTACACAAAAACTCAAATACATTTCTCTGACTTAGTTCAATCTGTACTTGTTGATACCAAAAGGCAAGCGGATCCAAAAGCCAAGAAGATACAGATAAAGGACAAGATACAGTTGTGATACATCGAGCAACACAGCACAACAGATAAGAGCGTCTTTGCTACAGCTATCTTTTCTGAAACATGCATTTTTTAATCAAACTAATTCTATTCAACCTCCTTCAGAATAGGTTTAGATTGTTTAAACTAAAATCTTCCTAAAATATCCTAAAAGGTTTGCTGGGCATACTTATTTCCTCATGTGCCACAGAGTTTTGTAGTCTTGTCGCTTACATTTTGAACATGTATGTTCAAACCAACAATTTTCAGTCAGGTCATCTGGACAGTTTCTTTTTTTTTTTTTTTGCCTGAAACATTTCGCCTTCCATCCAGAAGGCTTCCTCAGTCAAGGAAACACACAACACAAAACCGATTCTTCATCCAAACAGCTTACTCCAAAGTGGAACAAACCAGTTATGTTGGTGCTAAGATGGTGTCTTTGGCATGCCCCCTCCTCTGGAGCCGGCCCTCTTCCTCGTCGACAGTCATGTCCAACTGGTTCAAATAAGTATAAAAAGTAATTGCAGGTGTCTCAACTACACCTCCAACATTTTTCAATTTAGTTTTTGTGTTTCTAGAGCACTACAGATGTATACTGACACCTACGCAGGAGGTTTCTTTATGATCAAAAACATTAGTGGCTACAGCTTTGAAAGACCTGGTCTACCACACTGATAAATAATATTCATATCCATATCTTAATTCCAAACGTGTATTCCAATAGGTTAAATCCTAAACATCTCATTGGCTTCCAAGGTGGGTACAAAACTAATCAAGAGTGGTAAAATGTTGTAGGTATGCAGAGGTAAGCAGGTAAATAAACTTTATTTATATAGCACAGGGGTCTGCAATCTGCGGCTCTGGAGCCACATGCGGCTCTTTGGTCCCTCTGCAGCAGCTCTTTAAAGCCATGACCAAAACTAACATAAAACTGAATTTTATTTGTTGTTATACAAACAACAAAAAATTCTAGTTTTAGCTGTTTCTTGTCATTTCTTTTGCAAATATCCTGATGCATGCTCAATAATCCAGGTAGAAAAATCTATAAAAGTTAAATCTGTTCCTCTGGACATTAAAAAATAAAATAAAATTGCACAAACGTTTCGTCTTTCATCCGAAAGACTTCTTCAGTCTGAGGTGCTGTATTCAGCTCAGTCTCTTAAATAGCACCTTCTCAGAGTGGATCAACCAGTTTGCTGCTGACAACCAAAACCAGCTGATCACATGCTCAAGAAGGACCATCAGCCTAACAATGGATCATTAGTACACTGATGGCTGTTTACTGTTCACAGAGGGCTGAGTGATACTAGCAATCACAGCATTGTAAGAGGGGGACAGTTGAACCCGGAGGCTCCGCCCCTGTTTAACGATGGACGGTTTCTTTTCACAAAGATGGCCTCCTTTACTCCTCTCTCAAACCAAAAGTTAGGACACTAAACAAATTGTGAATAAAAACTGAATGCAATGATGTGGAGATGGCAAATGTCAATATTTTATTCGTAATATAACAAAGATGACAGATCAAAAGTTTAATCTGAGTAAATGTAACATTTTAAAGGAAAAATATGTTGATTCAAAATGTCACGGTATCAACAAATCCCAAAAAAGTTGGGACAAGTAGCAATAAGTGGCTGGAAAAAGGAAATTGTTCATATAACTGTAGTATGTCAGGACAGCTTTGCTGTGGACACACTACTTATTAATTATTCTTAAAGCTAGTTCAAGCACAAAGAATATTAATTGTTTAATTACAACAGATTATTTTCTTTTTCGAGTTAAATTTCTGCCATGTGACCGAGATAACTGTGAGTGGATTGTTTAAATCAGTGACATGAGATGCCATTTTATCTTTGACCCATCAGAATAAATGCGGTCATTTATTTAACAGAATCAAAATTTAACATCAAAACATGTACACATTGATTTGCTGATCTGTTTCTGATTAATAAACTTGGCACGATTTACTAACAAGACAACAGAACATTACTGATTGAGACTGATTCACCTCTGGAGGCATCTGGTTTGATTTACTGGCGAATAGAAAGTATAAGAGAGGAGAAATAGATTTAAGGAGTAAGTTTAGATTTAAGGATGAAAGTTATTTGTGGAACCAGAACATTGCACCCTTCCTCCGACATCCAGCTCAGCTTTCCGGTACACCTCAGGACGTCAACGACTTGTTACTTGAGAGGGGGATACCTCCACTCCGGAACAGAAGTCCATTAGTACGCTCCCTTTACAGCGTCTCCGGGTAAAGTAGCTGGGTCATCAGAATAAATGCCGAAGTACTCGGTTCCATCGAATAAGCTTCCATAGAAGTGGAGCATTTACTGCTCGGGTTGAGTGCACAGCGATGTGAGCTGTGACTCCGCTGAAATGGAGGGACCCTTTGCACATGGTCCCATCCATCCGCTGCTTAAGTGAGTCTCATCTCTGACCGAAAGTTCCAGCAAGACTTAGAAGAGACTAAGACTCATGAAGACAAAGACTTAAGACTCTGACTGAGTTCCAGGACTGACTAGTTCCAAGAAGTGTTCCTTTTTAAAGGGGTCTTCACTTCTTGTTACGTGGTACTTCCTGATTGGTTGAAACAACCAGCAGGGGTGTGGTTCTAGTGATGTCAGAGAGTCACTAGAAGTCAAGAGACAGCGGGAATGTTTTTAAAAATGGTTAGTACAGACAGAGAAATATTATGACAAGGTGAGACAAAGCAGGTGCCAGTTGAAGTTATTTACTGTCTGCTAGTTTTAAAAACAAGACACTTCGTTCTAATAACTCGTCCCTGACTTTCGACCGACATCCACCACTACTCATTCAGACAGAAGACTAAATGCACACTTACGTCGTAAATAGGCATTTAACTGTATGATCAAAATCTAATGAGGTTTAAAAATCATTAATACTGTTTCACAGTTGATTTAAATGAGTGGTTCACTTCAACATTTAGAAATGGTATGAACTAAACACGCTTTTTTATTATCAAGATATTTTAAAATAGTAATGATAATGTAAAAGAAGAGTGTTCTTTCAATTGATTAATTCAGGATACAATTAAATAGTCTCTTGATGAGATAATTTGTATTTCTGGATTCAAATCAATGAAATAACAGTTCTTGTCCCCTGAAGGTCTTCAGAGACAGGTTGAGGTCGGATGTCTAGTTCACTACATAACGAACAGCTGGAAGACCAATTAACACTAATTAGGTCAATTGACAACATGATTGGGTATAAAAAGAGCTTCTCAGAGTGCCAGTGTCTCTCAGAAGCCAAGATGGTAAGAGGATCACCAATTCCACCATTGTTGCGCAGAAAGATAGTGCAGCAATACCAGAATGGTGTTACCCAGCATAAAATAGCAAAGACTTTTAAGTTATCATCATCAACCGTGTATAACATCATCAAAAGATTCAGAGAATCTGGAACAATCGCTGTGCGTAAGGGTCAAGGCCGTAAAACTCTACTGGATGCTCGTGATCTCCGGGCCCTTAAACGTCACTGCACCTCAAACAGGAATGTCACTGTCAAGGAAATAACAGAATGGGTTCAAGAATACTTCCAGAAAGCATTGTCAGTGAACACAATCCACTGTGCCATCTGCCGTTGCCAGCTGAAACTCTACAGTGCAAAGAGGAAGCCATTTCTAAGCAAGCTCCACAAGCTCAGACGTTTGCACTGGGCCAGGGGTCATTTAAAATGGAGTGTGGCAAAATGGAAGACTGTTCTGTGGTCAGATGAGTCACGATTTGAAGTTCTTTATGGAACACTGGGACGCCATGTCATCCGGACCAGAGAGGACAAGGATAGCCCAAGTTGTTATCAACGGTCCGTTCAGAAGCCTGCATCACTGATGGTATGGGGTTGCATGAGCGCTTGTGGCATGGGCAGCTTGCATGTCTGGAAAGGCACCATTAATGCAGAGAACTATGTTCAGGTTCTAGAACAACATATGCTCCCATCTAGACGTCATCTCTTTCAGGGAAGACCCTGCGTTTTTCAACACGATAATGCCAGACCACATTCTGCAGCAATCACAACATCATGGCTACGTAGGAGAAGGATCCGGGTACTGAAATGGCCAGCCTGCAGTCCAGATCTTTCACCTATAGAGAACATTTGGTGCATCATAAAGAGGAAGGTGTGACAAAGAAGGCCCAAGACGATTGAACAGTTAGAGGCCTGTATTAGACATGAATGGGAGAGCATTCCTATCTCCCCAGACGTCTGTTGAGTGTTGTAAGAAGAAGGGGGGATGTCACACAGTGGGAAAAATGGACTTGTCCCAACTTTTTTGGGATTTGTGACGCCATAAAATTTGGAAACAACAGATTTTTCCCTTAAAATGATACATTCTCTCAGTTTAAACTTTTGATCTGTGTTCTATTTGAGCACAAATAGAACACAAATCACAGATCAAAAGTTAGTCAATCATAGTGTGATTTGTTCTATGTGAACAAAACAAAGGAGATGATTGTAGAATTCAGGAGAATCAGGAACAGGTCCAACCCTATTTCCATCATGGGGGAAGAAGTGGAGGTGGTGGAGAAGTATAAATACCTCGGGGTTCACCTGGACAACAGACTGGACTGGAAATGCAACAGTGAAGCGTCTACAAGAAGAGACAGAGCAGACTGTACTTCTTGAGGAAGCTGAAGTCCTTCAATGTTTGCAGAAAATTGCTGCATATCTTCTATAAGTCTGTTGTAGAGAGCGCTGTCTCTTCTGCCATCATCTGCTGGGGGAGCAGCACCAGAGCAAGTGACTTAAAAAAGATCAACAAGCTCATAAAGAAGGCTGGCTCAGTTCTGGGGACTCCTCTAGAACCTTTGGAGATGATTGTTCAAAGAAGGATTCTTCATAAAATGAAGAACATTATAGACAACCCTCAGTATCCTCTTCATCATACTGTCATACAACAACAGAGTGTCTTCAGTCAGAGGCTTCTTCAGATCCGTTGTAGGACAGACGCTACACAAGATCCTTCCTGCCCACAGCCATCAGCATCTAGAACAACATTAATGAAACCAGGACCAACTACAAACGATGGGGTGACCGGGCCTTTTCGGTTGTCGCACCCAGACTCTGGAACCAACTACCTCAGGACTTGCGCACCATCATTGACATGGAGCATTTTAAATCTAATCTTAAAACCTTTTTATTCAGGCAGGCTTTTAATACCTAGTATTTATATATGTATATATATATACATATATATATATATATATATATATATATATATATATATATATA